CGGATCAGGAGCACCGATCTGCTGGAATCGAAGATATATTGCGGTGGAGTACGCTTGGCTGTAGAAACCTTATGCAGGACCGTCCGCCCCTGTAGAAGGAACACATGAATCGCGATCTATCATTGAAACGAGGTCGGACTAGACTGAGTCGTAGCGGTCACGGACTCTCTAGCAGGAGAAGTCAGCCTAGCAGCGCGGCGATTGTGTTGGCAGCAGTGTTTGGGTTCATTAAGTTCAACAGCTGGGGATTCAGTATGGCGTTGATCTGCTCCTGTGACCAAGTGGCTGGGTTGAGTGGACCAGCGATAGGAATGTCCGGAACGAAGGGCGGGAGGAAAGAGCCGGCCGGGATTTCAATTTCCCGGAAGCCGTGCACCAGCGGAGCCGGGAATCCAGCCGCCTGCATCCTCCTTGCAAATGTTTGCATGGACGGCGTTATGTTCCGGGTGAATTCACGTGTTTGACCTTGAATCTCGCTCCAGAAATCGTTCAACGCAGATTTAGCTTCCATGGGATTCAAGACGCCAAGAAGGGAGCTCAGCGATGTCTGGGATTGGCTGGCTGGGGATTGGCTGCCGCCTCCGCTGTCTGCGTCCTGGAGTCCGCCTCGGGCTCCGAAGTCGACTTCTTCGTTGTCATCCGCTGCCGGGTCTTCGGTACTATTTGTTTCACCGTCCTGGTGTTTCTGCTCAGGTATATCGTCTGGGGAACCGTCGCGGGGAACCTGGTCGTCTGGCTTAACATGTGGTTCTGAGGCGACGACATTGCCAATCCGCTTAAGCCTCTGGTCGTAGTCCTTGTCCTTATCGTCGTCCGGCGAGTAGTCCGAGTCATCTTCATCTTGGTAACCATGCAGTATGTCATTGGCGACGTCGGCCACTTCATTCGTAGAGGCAACCACCATGCCGACCAAGACGAACAGTGCAAGCTTTAGATTCCTCATATTCCTTGTCGCTGTATTCGGCCGGGATGAATGTTTGTGCTACCGCGCGCGTGTTTGTGCTACCGCGCGCGTGTTTGTGCTACCGCGCGCGTGTTTGTGCTACCGCGCGCGTGTTTGGATAATACCGCCGCGCGCTGATTAACTTAACGAACAATCATAAAGATTAACTTAACGAACAATCATAAAGACAAGGCAACAGTTACAGATAGATAGTGTTACAGATAGATAGTGTTGTTGCGATTGTCCGAAATATGTTTGCTTGATTGGCAGTTTGTTGTCATGCGTCTAAATCATGTTAAAATGGAGGGCGGAAAATCTGGGCTAAACGATCAGGATAAGGTGTCTGGTGCCACAGACCATAAATCAGGATAAGGTGCTGATTCAATTAAGTTTTAGAAGGAAGCATCGTCTTGGTGTTGATCACGTGCTTCCTTGCGTTCGGTGCGAGATTCGCCCGTGAGGAACTTGCGGGGCTTCTTGTAATAGCCTCCGCTGGGGATGATGGGCGTGATGGCTTGAGCTGGGGGCACGAAATGGTGATGGTGGTCGCAGTCGGGACAGGCGTATGTGACAGAGAAGAGACAGAGAGCGGGTTCGATGTCACGACGAACACAGGTGGTGCCATCGGTGTCGAGGAAGAATCCGAGTGGGCACAAGCGGCGAGAGGTTGTTTCGTTGACACAGAACTCGCCCATAAGGCTGTGAGTACTGAGAGGGCAAACTGCCACCGGTGCCTGTTCAGTAAGAATCTCACACTTGCAAATACGACCATTGCATGCAAGGCTTCCAATCTGGCAAGAGGCGATTGGTGCGACCGCCACACGACGCGCACAAGCACCGTCAATCAATGGTACGGGACACTCGCGGATAGCAGGAACGACCGTCTCGACCACACATGTGCCACCATAACGCGATCCAACAGGGCATACACGTTCGGCAGCTTGTGTCACCACCTTTATCACCTGTTGCGGTACCACCGGACGCTTTTCCTTCACGACCACTTCGCGGACTTTGGGCTGCTTCACCTTCACTTCCTTCAGTCGCTGAGGTACCACCACTGGCACCTGGACCTTCTCCCACTGCACGTCGTCGACCACAAAGTCGGGTGCATATTCAGGTCTGTACTTTCGTGCCTTCAACTTGCCCACCGGCTGAGCCGGCATCCATTGGTCCGTCACCACCAAATCCGGTTCCATGTAGGCAAACGGAGATGCCGTCACGACTTCCGCATATGCAATGTCGTCATCGTCACAGTACTCGTAGCTGCTCTCGCCCTCCATGTCTGCGTCCTCTGCGTCGACAGACTGTGCAGTCAATTGCTCTACAGCGGGTTCAGCGACCACGGCGGAGTCAGACGATGGGGTGTGGTCCACCTCGGACGCGTCAACAGCTGATAGCATGCGGTTTGGCATCTTCTTGTATTTGTAAGAGACCACTTCACGTCGGCACTTCTTGCCGTCTATCTGTGTGCCAGGTGGACACACGAAGACGGGGTCGATGTACTCCACTGCCAGACAGCCCTGCTGCGAACGCACTGTGCCGTCAGGACAAACGTCGATGTAATTGACCGGCTCAAGCACTGAACACACGCCGTCAATACCCAGATGCGTGTTCACAGGACACTGCAAATCCGCCTCATAAATCTCAAGCTGCTGGCAAATGCCACCGATCAACTGTCCCTGACGACAAGTCAGCTGGGGCTGAATACGTTGGACGCAAATATCCCCAACAAACTTGTAACCTGGTGGGCACTCCAGACGTGATTCAATTCGTGTCTCGCTCACACACTCATCGCCGATCAGAGCATAACCTGGTTTCGGACATGTGTAAACCGGTTCCGACACGTCGTATGCCCGCGCTACCGGCGGCTCCTTGACCACAGGACGCGGCTCCACCAGCAGCGGGCGAGGCTCCATCATCACTGGACGAGGCTCCACTACCACCGGGCGTTGTGTTTCGACCACAGCCACCGGCTCCGCTATAAAGTCGGCTGCATCCGGATAGTACTTTTTGAACTGGCCCGTACCCTGGATGTCATCCGCCGCAAATGCTGCCACAAGGAACAAAGCCGAGCTCTTCATTGAATTTAAGGGCGCGCTTTTTCCACGGTATGCACACACACCGCACGCGCGCGAACCGCCGGAAAACCGCATTCACGTCCGCGGAAATGACACCCGCCGGCCGCGGAAGCCACACACTACTCTCGGTCAGCCGGCGACACGCTCTCAATCAGTTTCCGAGCTTTCAACTCCACAATTCGACACAGCAACTTTTCACTACAAAGACCATTATCAAAACGCTTGCTGACAAACAAGTGCGACTAGGTCAGGGTGCGTGGGTAGTACAGGTGTAGTACAAGGGGGGAGTGATGCGGCAGGACTCACGTTTCAGCGCCCGCAAGAAGGCAGCCTTCGTTGGCGAACAAGAGGGAGAGGACGGATGGATGTAGGAGGTTTTGGTGTTCCTGTTGTTTGAGAGTGTTGTAGAGCTTGCGTACCCTGTGGAGGTGCTCGTCGTTGGATGCGGAGTCCTTGCTCCCTGGGCTGTTACCGGTGGGGTTACCCGTAGGGTTACTTCCCCCTGCCATGGTATTACCTCCCATGGGGTTATTGCCTGCCCCTACCATGGGGTTGCCTGCCCCTACCATGGAGATGGGGTTCCCTCCCATAGAGATGGGTGCCTGACCGGTTCCGGGGTGACCGGGTGCCTGACCGGTTCCGGGGTTGTGGTTCATGTTGCGGGTCTGCGGGATTTAAGAAATGGGGCGTACGTTACCAAATGTGTTGGTCACGGGTGTGCCCGGAGCCGGGAAGACGACGTTGGCCGAGGCGTTGGAGACGGCCTGGCAGGCGGAGCGAGTGGATGTGGCCAAGTTGATTCAGGAGCAGCACCTATACAGTGAGTTTGATACGGAGAGGAACTGCACGGTCTACGACGCAGACGCGGTATACGACGAGTTGGATGCTTTGGTGGCAAGCGGCGGCGTCATCGTTGACTTCCACTCAGTCGATTTCATGGCCCTCAGACGCTGGTTCGATCTCCTCGTCGTCCTCCACGTGCCCACCGACGTGTTGTGGGAGCGACTCGAAAATCGCGGCTACAACGAGGCTAAGATTGCCGAGAACGTCGAGTGCGAAATCATGCGGGAAATCGATAATGAAGTCGAAGAATACTTTGTCGAAACGCATACCTGTCAGTTCCAAAAACATGATTTAATTACATTAATCCAAACCACCACTCCCCCAAGTGACCTCGAACCACATGTCTGTGTAATCGAAATCAACGAACATCTTCAACCCAACCTCCAAGACATCGTCGATAAACTCACCCACTGGAAGAACAAACATTTCACGTAACGCTACGTCACGCTACGTCCTAAAGAAGTCTAGATAGAAGCCTACATGAAAGTCTGGCTGCATGCATAATCTTATTCTGTTTGCGCGATTTTTTTGTTCATGATCGCGCCGTCATAGTGGGCAGCCGACCCAAAATGGCATCAAATTTCTCGGTTGGCACCCGACCCAAAATGGCATCAAATTTCTCGGTTGGCACCCGACCCACAATGGCATCAAATTTCTCGGTTGGCACCCCTGGACTTAAAAATTTTCAGAGCAATAAAACAATGAGGTGTGGCATCCTAAGTAACGGACGCCCACTGGGACTCCGAGCGTCCTGGCTGCTGGCAGAAAGCTGCGTCACCGGGGGCCCTTGTCTCTTAGACGCTGCCGCCCGATCTCATATATACCGGCCGTCCGTTGGAGACTCCACGGGACCCAAAGAATTCGGCCCAAGCACTCTGCTTAGTGCAGCAAGAAACCTATCCAAGGGTGCTACGGGCTTTCCCGTACCACTGGCAGGGGGCGCACCGTCTGGGGTGGGCGCAGCGTCTCCAGTGATGGGAATGATGCCCCCGCAGACGGATATGATGCCTCCGCCCCCGCCGATGGGTATGGCGCCCCCGCCGATGGGTATGATGCCTCCACCGATGGGTATGGCGCCCCCGCCCATGGGTATGGCGCCCCCGCCCATGGGTATGGCGCCCCCGCCCATGGGTATGGCGCCCCCGCCGATGGGTATGGCGCCCCCGCCCATGGGTATGATGCCTCCACCGATGGGTATGATGCCCCCACCGATGGGTATGGGTATGATGCCCCCACCGATGGGTACGGGTATGATGCCCCCACCGACGGGTATGATGGGCCCGGCGTCGCCGCCGATGGGTATGATGCCACCAATGGATCCACGAGTGGGGCCGCCAATCGGTCCAGCAATGGGTCCGGGGGGTATGCTGGAAGAGCGTCCGTTTACGATGCAGGTGTCGCCTCTGGTGGAAGTGGTGCCTGCGGATTTCAAGGTTCAGAACCTTGGTCGGGCGGCAATGGAGTTCAATAATCCGTTGGTGCAGTGTCAGTTCAGTACGTTGACTGTGGAGACGATTTTCAGGCCGTTAATGGGCGCGGCATTGCGGATGCGTGTGGACTGGGAACGGGTGTGCGGCCGCAGTATTTCGGACGCGGAATGGATTTCGTTCTTCACGTCCACGGCCTCCCGCGATACGAACCGCCTTACCAACATGGTCGCACGCCTATACTCTTCTGCCGCCACTGGCGACCTACATTATGTTCACGCCTACCTGCTCGAGCTCGCCGCCGAAGGCTACGTCATTGGCGCCGAAACGCGTCTCGCCGTACCCAACCGCAGTCAACATGTCGACGTCGTCCAACTCATCGGCCTCACCATCGCTCGCGCAATGCAACTCTCAAACTTCCTCAAGATCGATTCCGGTCCCCTCCTTTCAAACAAACTCGCAGAAAGTCGCGTATATAACCTGTAACCAGACGTGTCGTTTAGAAGTGTCCAGCCAGAACGGCCAGAGCGGCCAGAACGGGAACAGATAGACATCGTCGAGAGTGGCCCTTTTTTCAGAGTGAACTTGCCCTTTTTTCAGAGTCAACCAGCCGTCCAATCTCTCGATGTGACTTGCCACCCACATGCAACCTCCTGCTGTGCATCCTCCCTCGGTGTGTGTGCGCCTGTAGCCAACCTGTTCCCTGTTCCCGATGTAACCCAACCAACCCCCTCCCCTCCCCTCCCCTCCCTCTCCATCTTCTCCGCGTATCGATCCCATCCCAGACAACCTTCCACTCGCCCACAGACGGGAACGATCAGAGAGAGTCGGGCCGGCTGGCCGCGAGTCTGCGTTATTTTAATTCGCGCAATGAAGAGCCAAATGGGAGTGAAGGCTCGGCTGCCGGAAATCGCACTGTTAGCCGCAGCCACGACCGTGCAACTATATATCTCGCCCCTCTCAGGCGGTGGTGAGGCGAAGCCCGGCACATGTCCCGTCCACCATCACTCCCGCCCGCCACCTTACAGGATTCACATCCAGCCACCGGCAGGGGCAGGCCCCGCAGCCACCACCACGGTACCCCTCCGGTTGACGGCCGGCGGCTCGCCCCCGACGGGTTCTATCCCGACCATTCGCGCGCAGGCCCCAATGTCCCAGTATAATCGTGTCTCGACCGGTCTCTCGCCCACCGCCTCGGTCTTGAGTGTTGGGGGTAACGCGACCCAGCCCGGATACTCCGTGACGGGCAGTGCGGCTCAGCCTTCAGCGTGGGCCCAACCTTCAGCGTGGACCCAGCCTTCCGGGGCTCAGCCGTCAGCGCGGGCCCAGCCTTCCGGGGGTCAGCCTCCCAGAGTCCAGGCCCAGTCGTCTGGAGTCCAGTTTCCTGGAGCTCCGTTTCCTGGGGCTCAGCATCCGCTTCGGTTTCCCTCTGGACTTGAGGGAGACGTGCGGCGATATCTGGCCACTTTGGGCGGGAGTCAGCTCGCCTCGGGTTACTGTGCCCACCAGCCGCCGTCGTGGGAGATGCAGGACATGGTCACGCGGACCTTGCAATCGCAGGGTCTCTACCGCTTCGACCCCAACCAGTTCTCGTACGGGCTATGGCAGGAAGCTAACCGACAGTACTGGTGGCTACGTCAACAGGAGGAGTGGTACAAACAACAACAGGCATCGCAGGCGGCGGCCAACGATGACTTCTCCGACGACGAAGACGACGCCATTCCGACCGGAAACAAGCGACCTGGTAAATCCTCCAAGGCATTCCGGGTTCTAGACAACTTCTGACCATACACGCTCGAACTCACCGCCGAAGGTAACGTCATTGGCACCAAAGGGCGTCTCGCCGTCCCCAGGGCAGAAGACCTCAAGACCGGCTACGGGACCTCGTCGCAGAAGACCTGAAGTGTACGTAATATTTGTGGTCCTGACTCATGCCGAGACGCGCTGCCCAACCGCGGTCACGGTGGGTGGTCCGTCACTCACTGGTCAGACTAGTTCCTCTGTCATGCTTGGATGTGGTTGCTGCTGCCATGGTAGTCAGGTACAACACTTTTTTAAAGTTAATTGATTGTTTAATATAACTCAACCGTCGCGGCTAAGTGAGCTCACGCTGCTGGATGGATCTCAACAACCGTGACCCTGTTTGTTACCATTCCCGCTAACACAGAAAAATGGCTACAAGCCCTGTTGATAACTCAGCCAGCCCTGTGTCCATTGGTGGGTGGCTCATCGAGGTGGTACGTGTCCATTGGTGGGTGGCTCATCGAGGTGGTACGTGTCCATTGGTGGGTGGCTCATCGAGGTGGTACGTATCCATTGGTGGGTGGCTCATCGAGGTGGTACGTGTCCATTGGTGGGTGGCT